TGAATTTCCTGAACTTTAACCGACATGACGGGAAGCACGTCGGGCAGAAACGCACGCGAAATCGGCAATGTTCGCCATTTTTTGTGACCAGCGGTTGTCCAACAAAGGAGKCTTGCGATCAGCGGTTGAGAATACAAATATCAACATGGCGGCTAATAAGAGATTTACTAGAGAGGAAGTGTTAGAGCAGATTTTTTGTGAGGAAGATGATGAGATGGAGGAGAAAGAAGTTAGTGTAGATAGCCAGGGAGAAAGTTTAGATCAATGGATTAATTCTTTCAGTGGTGAAGGTATTGATGTACCATTTTTTCGCGAAAATGCAAGGCAAGTTATGTCTCCTATCATTCGCCACTCGCTTTTGACTGCAGAAATTGGAAATGAAGATCTTATATCTAGAGGTATGTTTTATTTTTTACAATTTCAGGATTAAGCCCCATCGCTCTTACTAAAGTATTAACGTAATATTTTGTTTCCAGCTTGCCGTCGCTTATGTACTCGTGTTCTTTCCGCTGGTTCTGTACTAGGGAACGAGAGCAAGATATGGCTCGGTGGTATTCACAAGAGATTGTCAGGAAGAGTGTCTGTTCGGCGGCCGTACTATGCTGAAATATCCCGCTTCATTCCTTACGATGTGTTTGTTAGCTGTCGTCATGTTATGACTGACTTGAGGGCTGTCCAACCTGATTGCTATATTTCTTCTAACCGTAAGTGTGAAGTCATCTCTGTTACCTCTCGACATTTATTGCACGAATTTCTTTCATGTCTTTCTGCAATAAATGTAAGAGAGGTAAAGAAATACTTCACTAGAAAGCTTACATCGGGATCAAGACACAACCACAAAGTGGAAGTTCTTGTCACCAAAGAAAAAGATTTTGCCTTCATGTACAAAAAAAACATTGGCCAACTTGTTCTGCAATTTCACTATGGGGAGTGGAATTCAAATGGATTCCCCCAGCACCGATGTAAASATAAGTTGATGAAGTATACAAGTGCGGATTAAATACAAACACTACTACTCCTGTGTTTTCTTGTGGCCAGCGGCATGATAATTATGTTGCTCTTGTACCACTGTTGGTTTGTTTTGCCTTATACTGTATTTAGCACAGCTAAATTATTTAACTCACTCATGTGCTAAAAGATAAAGGAGTTTTGGTGCACGGRAAATTTATAACAGTTCACAGGAGTACCATGATAGTCATTAAACCGTATAACATTTWAATAAATCAAGTAATACACTGTTGCAATAAACCTTTATTATGTAATTATTGCTTATACATGTATGGACTAAATCAAGAAGTACAGTGTACCATGCAGTCTGTAAATGTGGAAATAAAAAGDACAGYTTGTGAAGATGCAAACATTTTGAAAGCAAGAATTGTTTATCACTCAATATAGTGTTCAAAATAAAGTAATATTCTACAATGATATGTTTGCAAGCACTCAATCCCCATAATATTTCTGCCTTAAGCCAAGGTTTTCAATAGAAGTGGCTCCTAWCTCAATTTCCACATTTATGTCAGTTGTTTTGGACTAGCTACCAATTCCCAACTAAAATACATTGTATTTCATTGAAAGCCCTAACCTAATTTTGTAAATTAAATTTACAAAGAAATTTTCTGCAAAGAAAANCTCATTTCCTGCAGATGCCATAACCATTTTGAACTGTATTTGAATCACAAAGTAAACAGAGTTCTCAAAGAAGATTCAGTTTCCACTGAATTTTCCTCGTGGAGTTTTCTTGGCCATACGATTTATCCGCTATCGTGCTTCCAACAGCATTACATTAGTGTCGTGAATCTCTCTGGTATGCAAAGCACAAGGTAAAATATGTTTTGTTATGTTTTGCTTATTTTCACTTCAAAACAACCTATACTCCATATAATAACTCCCCTGTTATTCATAGCTAGTAACTCAATTCGTAAAAGGTAAAACGGCGCGTCAAACTGATAGATTGTCTTCACTTTTCAGTTAATTTCTTCATACCAATCTATCTAAGCTTATATATACAAAAAAGGGGGAAAGTCAATATATTATTACAGATAATATTGAAATTTTATAAAATAGCACGGTAACGTTAATCTTAGTTAATAGGTTAGAATTCTTTGTGTTTTGCTACTACGTCAATTTCTGATTACAAGTGGGAATGGTTGATGCTACAATAAGAGGGTGCGAGTGAATAGCAATAGTGGCAAGAAAAAAAGAATAGAATATGAATATCATTACTAAGAATTGATATTATTCGTATTAAAGAAACTGGAACATATAAATATAACCTAACTGTGAGTATTTTTATTCATTGAGCAAAGAAAACCTGGAAGACCAAAGAAGGAAATTTCAAGAGCTAACCTAGAGAATCTGCTTGAATTGAAATTACCAATTTCTGAGATAGCGGTCTTTTTTGATGTCTCTCGGCCAATTGTTTACAAAGCCATTGAAGAATTTGGAATTCCATATCAAAAGTTTTCTAACGTAACAGACTCTCAACTGGAGAACCTGGTACAAGATGTCAAAAACCAACATCCAAATTCTGGCGAAGTTATGTTACAAGGCCATCTCAGGGCTCGGGGGCATCACATACAACGAAGTCGAGTTCGTGCAGCTGCTCATCTTGTCGAACCCTCTGATGCACCTACACGTAAAGCACCCAAGATCAATAGGCGCGTCTACTCCGTCCCAAGTCCTAATTTCATATGGCATATTGATGGCAACCATAAACTCGTTCGCTGGCGCTTAGTACTACATCATGGAATCGATGGTTTCAGCCGACTTGTCGTTTTTGGTCAATTTTCAAGTAACAATCGAGCAGATACTGTTCTTTCTTTGTTCCGCGATGCTATTAGGAAATATGGACGACCTTACAAAATTCGAACGGATCACGGGGGAGAGAACGTAGATATCTGGAATTATATGGTTTCCACTGCTTGTTCAACAGATACAAGACCTGTAATTGTTGGAAGCTCAGTGCATAATCAACGCATTGAGCGCCATAATCGTTCTGTCAATGAGCAGGAGATATGCAATTTTAGACAATTGTTCTATGAACTAGAGAATGAGGGTATTCTCGACCCTGACAATGATACAGACTTGTTCTGTCTTCATTATGTCTTCCTTCCGAGGATAAACAGAAGCCTGTCAGAGTTCATTGATGCTCATAATAACCATGCCATTTCCACATCGAGGAACATAACGCCAGCCCAACTTTTCTGGATAAATATCCATCATAGTGTTCCAGATAATAGTTTCATTGCAAATACTACGCAAGGAGTGAATGTCCAAGATCTAATTCATGGCCAAGCTCTTCCGCACGTTCACGTCACTGAAACGCCCAACCCTCTGACGCAAGAAATGTTTCAAGAGTTGCATCGTTGCGTAGACCCTCTTTCCCCAGTTGAAGGCAAAGAACTTTACCGAAGGACTGTTGAAATTGTAGGAAGAATGATGCTGGTCAACCACAATTCTAGTAATTCACCATAAAAGACAACTTAAAATCTTTCTAGATGTTTATTACTTATACATTCATATACAAGCTTTTAAAAATTCATCCTATTTGAAAATTGTTTCTAACAATAACAGTATTTTATGAACCTTAAACTTAAAACAAATGATTACTCAAAACACCTTTTTTTCTGTTGAGTCGATTTTAAAAACGGCCTAGCAAACGGCTTAATTCTGCGCAAAGTTGTTAGTTTAATATAACGTTTCTTCCTTTAAAACATTTTCCCTACTGTCCTGGTTCTGAAGTGTACAATTCATTTCATAGCGATACATATATGTTATTTATTTTTTTCGAGCCGGTATCCTAGTCATTCGCGCGCTGTGATTGGCTAGCGCGCGGTCCGGTATGTCACGATCTGCTCTATCCACGGTATCCTGCAGCTAGCCCTGCGAGCAAAGTTGCATAAAATACAAATAGAAAAAATATAGGTCGGTCCATATAGGAAAACACTGCCCTTGGTCTTGGCAGTACGGAACAAACGCAGCGAGGTCCGTTCATAAAAGACCGAGGGCAGTGTTTTCCTTCACAGACCAACCTATAGCCGGTAAATAATATTTGTATTTTTTTTATTTGTATTTTATGCAACTTTGCTCCGTCGGACCGGACAGATCGTGAAAAACCGGACCGCGCACTAGCCAATCACAGCGAGCAAATGCCTAGGATACCGAACCGAATAAAAAATAGAAAACCTTATTTTTAAGAATTTTATCTTAGAATGAGAACGAAAACAAACGGTTTGCAAAACGTTTTGCTGCAAGATATAATAAACATGAAGGCAAAGCATGTTATATCAATGTTTATAGTATTATATGTGTTATTGAATGTAAGGGCTTACAATAAAGCTAGACACTTGTTTTAATTTCGAAGAGATGTTCTTACGTTATGATCATACTATAAAGTGTTCATTGAGGTACCCGAGTAAATCTTTTTTGTTCTTTTACTGAGAGCACTGCATGCAAAAGCGATCAAATAGAACGGCGGTGCAGAAAATAGCACTCAAACAAAACGTTTATAAAAGGAACTAAATTTGTCCGAAACATGGTGAGTTTAGAATAGCAAAATCAATGGCCTCCTTGAAATCATCGTACTGTGTGTACGACGTTGGTAGTCGCAGCACAGTACCACATGTATTGGCAGTTGGAAGACGGTCATCGGTGAACTCTATGGTTGGATATGAGTCGAATCCTAGCGGCGGGGGCTCCTCTGCTCCTGTGATGAACACCATAACATCTTTTAGTGTCGCCTTTGATTCTGAGCCACCTAAATGAATACAAAGATAATCAAATGAAGCACAAATAGTAGTTTTAACACTGTGGATTCAAAACTAAAGCAATTTCCGGTTTCTTGCTAAGAAATTATTTATATCACATACATTCACAGTCTTGCAAGTAATCTCTCCAGTACACAACAGCAATTTCTTGTTTGCTTCTTAAATTGGAGCCCATTTCTGCATAGTCGATGACAAATAAACTGTCTATGGTCTGGGCGTCAATTTTCGAATTACTTTTACTAGGGACGAAAATGTCCCTGAATTCTTCTTGAAATTCGTGCATTTTTTGGAGAACACCAAGAGTTTCCAACCCTGACTTGAGGTCTTCCAGAAAGGACCTGGGCGCGTCTACAATGATATGCCTCGCTATAAGATTGCACAGCCAATCTTTGTCGTCGATGGACTTGATAAGGGCTGTGGCAACTCCCTGGGCCTCCAGAATGGTGGAGATTTCAGGAACCGAGAGGTTCTTTCTAAGTTCTTCTAGATTTGACGATGACGCTATCTGTTTAGTAAGATATCGTTATTTTTTAGGATACTACAATAAGTCAGATGAAGGATTAGCATACCAAACGGGAAACAAGGCGGGCAGACGACGACTGGATACAAAGCTAATTGTTTTTCGGACAAAGAAAATCCTTTGTTTAACATACATTTTCTGGTTCTGTTTACATTTGCAATTTTAAGATGATATTAGAATAGTGTTTTTTTAGTATTTTCATCAAGAATGCAAACTAATTGATATTTCAATTAGCTACATGGTGATTCCTAATGCTAATTTAGATAACTGTAAAAGTATGATTTCAATGTTCTTACTTACTTTGTACACACATTCCTTCAAAGAAGGGTCTGCGATATCCTCTTTTCTAACCACTGTAACCCCATTTGACGATAAAGCATTGTACAGTGATGTACTAAAAAATCTTGGGGCAGGGCCGCCATGTACAATTGCCCACGCCAGGATGGTTCCTGTGAACCTATATAGGTCCTTTTCTCGAGCTACAAAGAAAAAGAAAACTTATCTTTTTTGTTTATAAAGAAAACATACATAGTTACATTTTGGACACAGTTCAATCAAGCCAGAACCTGCATTAAAGAGTAATTGTCTTACCTGAGGCATTAGCCTGTAGTGTTCGGCCATCAATGGGGCCGCAAAAAACACCGGACTGCTCGTTCACTGCCTTGACTAACAGTCTTAAAAATTCCCGTCGGGGTCCCCCTGCGTCAATCGCTCCCTCCCCGACTCCGTGGTCGTCTGCAAATCTTACAGAGATTGTTGCTTTTTCGTCAAAGCGTTTTCGTTTTAGAAATCTAATAGTATCCTCAAGTACAAATTGTCTGCGTATGTTGATACTTGAGACGCTATTGGATTCTGTAAGAGGCGCTTGCAGCTTGTCCAATATATCTGTTATGGGTGTCAAGGTTTGGCTGTTGTCACTGAAAGAGGGAGCGTTCTTGAATTATTTAAAAAATTCTTACCTAACTATGTTAATACTAAACAAAAACATGATAAGCGATGCTTTCACTAATGTTTGTTAGATATCCGAAGGCCATTCCTTAGCTATTCCTTCCTTATAGAATATGGCCTCAATATATTAAAAAAAATTATAGCATAAACTATAGCTTATCAGGATATTAACTATGCATAAACACAAATAAACAATAGATGATTGCCTGTATATGACCTCACAAGACCTTTAAAAAGTCTCGGTGTGCTGATTTCTTTAAAGAAACTTTATTAAACGGGTACAGAGGGCTTTACCTTTCAGATTTATGATCAACTTCATCTTCATCGGAAGGTATTTCTATTATTTCTTTATTTATGAGTGATGCATAAGAACTGAAAAAGAAAGCAAATGAAATAAAGATATGATGTCTGCGTTACCCTTGGGCTGACTCATCACCATTACCTGAATATATTTGAGGAACTTGAGATGTTGGCATCCGCATTTTCATTTCTAGATAAGGTTAAATATTATTTGAGATATTGTCGCCTGAGTATCAAACTGTTTAAGGAAAGTTCACACGTGTGAAGAGCGCAAAATGAATCGTATTTATCCGAATRTTTCTCTAGCCCGAAACACCGATCACATACAACAAGAACGTTTGGACGCTAAGTGTATTCAMAYAAAGATAATTTTTCAGAAAAAATATCAGAAGTGCATGTGGGTGTTGCCTAAATGATAATTGAAACAAATTTATCAAACATTCCTTGCGTGCGATAGTCTTGTCCTTTTTTCAAGCTCGGAAATATCAGAACGCCTTATAAGGGCGCTTGTGTTTTTTGGCGTTGTTTCTTTACTAATATATATACCTGCAAGTATTTCCTTTGGAGTCACCAAATACTGGATGCATTAAAGACTCGTCTGAAGAGTCCTGAAAGCATATATACGTAAAATATAATCAAGCTTAAATGTTTTAAAATTATAGCTAGGAAGAGTCACAAAAAAAACTAAATAAATATATTTTTCAAAATATCCTCCAGATGAAGCTGCTTTGACGTCACATGCAAGGGGTCTATACTTTTAATGTTGATCTTTTTTCTTGAAAACAGTATTGATCATTGTTTAGCAATTCAATATCACATCGTCCTAGATTTCGCAATGGCTTTCATATTCATTGCAAGTTAATTCATACACCCGAATTCATTGGCTCTTATTTCTAGCATAATTCATAGTACTAACTATATGTATAGTTATAATATACATACCTCATCAGAAACTGACTCATTCTTCGTCGAAACTATAGGGTTGGAGCTTGATAATATATATAATGTGTCTCGAGTGCAAATGCTCAGTACCTGGGGAGCATCCCAGACAAAAGCCTTTGTTGTTTTTGGTATGTGCAGCTTTTTGGTACCAGGCATTATGCTGTTATTCAAAAATAAACAAGATTTACCTTAAAAATATTTTTTCAGTTCTCATATGTATCATATTTGAAGATAACAATAAACAAAATAAGCGCATAAATCATCAAAATGGATTTGTTAAAGTGTTTTGGTTGGCTTTTGAGAAACAAAATTTAGATTATTGATGTGGTTCCCTCTCCTTCTAGATTAAAATACTAACCTCAGGTAGCTGTAATTAAGTCCATCTGCTGCAAAACAGTCTTTGAAAAGACTGCATATTTCATCGTGAATGTCTTCTGCTGACATGGAATATTCAATGTTAATTTTTCCAACGAGGCCATGCTCAGTTAGGTTAGCCCTTGCCTCTCCCCTTGGTATTGAAAGAGGTTTAGAAGTGCCATCCTGCACGGGAACCAAGCAAACGATGTTTTTGGTGTATATTTTCCTATTTTTAGGTGTTTTAGTGTCATTTTTTTTGGATTTTTTCGGTGGGGGCCTCCATCTTGGTGTAGGTTGAAAAGCAGACGGCAAAGGTGGCGCTGAATGCTGAGGTGTGCTCATACTGGTGTTCTCCTGCAATCATGACATTTACGACTTACTATGAAACGCAACACAATATTCACTACTGACGATAGCCTATGTGTGGAGTATTAATTTAGGAGGAGCCGATAGGCAAAAATTCGTACAAGAATTGTTTGGAAGAACAGACCCCGTCGGCTCCTCTTGTTAATTTTACAAGACAATTTTTTGCGAAACTAAGCTAGTAGTTAGTAGCAATAAAACTTTATATCTCATTGGCAAAAAATCAAATGAGGATGTCATGTCTATTAATTTTGTGGGTTTTTTGCAGCTATGTGGGGTAGTTTCGTCGTAATTCGACATTTTCTTGTACAAAGCGTACACTACCCTGCTCCCAGAGGTTTCTTTTCTCTTCTTTTATAGATGTTTTTTATCGTATTTTTGACTTTGTTTTTTAGATTTAACGACGCAAGAAGTATTAAATTTAAAAAACAAAGACAATTTAACGACGCAAAAAGTATTAAATTTAAAAAACAAAGACAAAAATACGATAAAAAACATCTATAAAAGAAGAGAAAAGAAAACCTCTGGGACCAGGGTAGGTGTACACGGGTTTGAGTACAAAGCTAAGGTTTTAAGTCTTGAAAAACCCTGACAGCACAAATGTTATACAACTATACATACCTTGGTGCCATTAAGCTCAACTAGTGYCTTTTCAATGGCTAAAGCCAGCTGGGAAGGCGGTGTTGAATTCATTAGGGACGATTACGATTGATCAAAGTCGCCGAAGAGAGTAGCCGATCAAGCGACCATGTGGTCTATCCGATCGACACAGGTAGCCCAACAATATTTTAAAACATTGTCAATTAATTTTCATACACTATTTTCCTGGAATATTTTTTTGCGATATAAATTTATATAATATATATACCGTACTTTTTATTGATTTATTTTTTTTTATTTTTTATTTTTTTATAAATCACAAATTTCTCGAGTTGTCATTTTTTACGATTTATAAATCGCAACTTTTTAGATTTTTGTGATTTGTAAATAGTAAAACTCTTGAGTTTTCATTTTTTTTGCGATATGTATATTGCACTTTCCTAATTTTTGTGATATATAAATTACAAATATCTCGAGTTGTCATTTTTTTGCGATTTATAAATCGCAACTTTTTGGATTTTTGTGATTTAGAAATAGTAAAACTCTTGAGTTGTAATTTTTGCGATATATAAATCGCAATGTTTTGGATTTCTCAATTTTTGCGATTTACAAATAGCAACTCCTTAGATCGCTCAATGTTTGTGATTTATAAATCGCATATTTTTCGTGGATAAATTTACGTTATTTATAAATAGCTAAATATATTGCACAAAATTTAAAGAAAACTTTGATAAATAATAAATTTACAAACGGCGCCCCATAAAGTACAGTGTACCATGCAGTCTGTAAATGTGGAAATAAAAAGTACAGGTTGTGAAGATGCAAACATTTTGAAAGCAAGAATTGTTTATCACTCAATATAGTGTTCAAAATAAAGTAATATTCTACAATGATATGTTTGCAAGCACTCAATCCCCATAATATTTCTGCCTTAAGCCAAGGTTTTCAATAGAAGTGGCTCCTAACTCAATTTCCACATTTATGTCAGTTGTTTTGGACTAGCTACCAATTCCCAACTAAAATACATTGTATTTCATTGAAAGCCCTAACCTAATTTTGTAAATTAAATTTACAAAGAAATTTTCTGCAAAGAAAAGATGAACAGATAGTCAGATTAAATCAAAACAAATATAGATACACTGTATGTATATCATCATTCTAATGAAGGTATTAGTATTTTTCCAACGGCGGTTAGATTTTTCTTACCTTAACCAACAATATTACAAGATATGACTTAGTAGTTAGCTTATTTTTCCAACGGCGGTTAGATTTTTCTTACTCTAACCAACAATATTACAAGATATGACTTAGTAGTTAGCTTATTTTTCCAACGGCGGTTAGATTTTTCTTACTCTAACCAACAATATTACAAGATATGACTTAGTAGTTAGCTTATTTTTCCAACGGCGGTTAGATTTTTCTTACTCTAACCAACAATATTACAGATGACTAAGTAGTTACCGTAGCTTATTTTTCCAACGGCGGTTAGATTTTTGTTATTCTAACCAACAATATTACAAGATATGACTTAGTAATTAGCTTATTTTTCCAACGGTGGTTAGATTTTTGGACTTAGTAGTAACAGCAGTTAGTAAGGGATTATTCTGGCATTCAGGATAAACAAACATTTATGATATATACCTCAATTCAATACCAGGAAATTTCCTGCATGTTTACATTTAAATGCAATACTGACAGTTTTCATTTTTGAATAACATGCCACCATGGATAAATTTTGATTGTTTTCCCTGTTTTGTATTGGTATCACTTGAAGTATATATAATAAATGGAACATTGCATAGGCATTTTAAAATACAGAATTTATCTTCTTGTTTTCAATTGATATTCTACTTGGCTATTGTTAATGCACTCGCTTATATGTAATACCAATTGAATATTAAAAGATAAATATAATTGTATTTTCAATGCCCATGCCACTTACCTGTYATGCCTGTTAGATCTTGACAAACACTAAGAAATCATGTCTTACCTTATCTCATGCTTTATTTTTGCTATCTCTTTAATTAGCTAAGCAGGATTCAATGACATAATAAAAAGACTATAATTCACCAAAGAAAGGAAAGTTAATTGGATGCATTGTTTGTGTTTTATTAATTTGATTTTGTTTGATTTGTTGTTTTTTTTTAATCTTTTGATTTGCCATAGCCTCCTGCTGACACAATGCATGACCATGGTTACAGGTAAATTCGCTATCAAAAGTAGTTTTGCTACCACTCGCTTGAGTGGTTTCGCTACCAATACAGAGTGGGTTCACTACCATTGCTACATTAGTGTACTCCACAATAGTGAACTCCACTATTTCATGTATTTATTTTGTGCTGTTTTTAAAAGAACTTTTGGACGATCCAATGTAATTTCATGCTATTTTTAAAGTAAATAATGTAATGATTGTAGAGAAACCACCTGCTATCCATGACTGCATTAAAGGAGAGACTTCTTACCTTTAGCAATACATGATTTTATTCTTTCTCTTAATGGGTGTACACAATACCAGCAACTTTCTGCATTGATATCTTTGACCATTCCACAGTAACAGTAGTCTGGCTTCTTTACCCTTGCTGGCACATATGTCTCCAACCTATTTCTAGATGACGTTGAAAGGTTGTACCCCCTAGATCTTAACCAAATTAATGAAATAAATTCATGTCTGAAAATCTGTTCCCACCTGTCTTTGTATAGTGTATTGACACTATACTTGCSTACAAAAATATGCTTCKCTTCTCTGCCTTCCATGGAATTTAAGCCAAGACCTTTACCATACCTATTAAACATGTCGCGTGTGTGTTCTGGGACAACTTGACCTATAGTCCAGACTGTCTGATTAATAGATAAAAATAAAGCATGGCATCGTAAGTAGTTGTTGCAGAAGACTTTAAGTTCTTTAATCTGTGGGTCAGAAATGTTAACGCGTGAAAATAAAGCAACTGCATCGCGCAAACATAAACAAGCATAAGCCATTATATGCAAATCATGTGAAACATTTTGACCACTTGGGTCAACTGAAGCAATTAAAAGCATAAAGTTGTGCAGAAATAATCTAGAGTCCTTACCAGTAAATCGGTAATCAAACTCTTTACCTGTTGACAAGGTTTCGTCGAACCACTTGATCAGTCTTTTTGCCAACCTAGTTAGTCCACAAACATTTCGCATGGTATCAATGTATTTGTAAAAGCATGAAGTGGATRGAACTTTGGAAAAAGGGATGTTATGGGGAAGATTAGCTAGAGAAAGAACTTCATGTAGTATTAATCTATGCATAAGTGCACAGGCATTATTTTTGATATGCAATGGGTCTACATGTGCCCTGTCAATAAGTTTCCCCAGTAATGGAACAAACTCTTGGCGGCTTTTTAGGCTGGCAATGTGTTGTGTTATGTTGTTTCTCTTAGTTGCTTCAGTGACTTTTTTCTTAGCGRCAGATTTTTTGAATTTTGACACTGAATCAGCATCTTKGAGACGCTTTTCGTAGCTCCAAGGCTTCCATTTGGTATTTCTGTCAAGAGAAAATGTGCCATTAGTGTCTGCAATCTCATCTTTGTTTACATTCSCAAARGTTGAGAAATATGTGGCGCTATTTGAAACTTCACCTGCAATAAAACATAACATTTTCATGTCATTTGGTAACTCTGAGAATACAAACTTAACATCATTGATGACGGTATCATTAGGTAGGGTAACAGAAAAAGTTTTCTTCTCAATGGCTTGAATTTCCTTGTTGATTTTGTCTAAAAACCTGTGAACAGGAGTGCAATTTTCAGAGCAATTTGCTCCAAACAAAAGAAAGTTTTCATCACTACTTAAGACTCCTTTGTCAATGTTTAGGAAGCTGATGAGCCAAGCACAAGCTGTGTCATCTTTCATAAATKGTGACCCATCTCCACCTATGGCTATAGAGAAAGTGTGAGGGGCACTTCCAAACCACTGGAGATCTTTTCGCCTACAACTAAGATAGTATTTTGCTAAAGTTAACAAAAGTTCAGTAAGATCCCTGTAGACACCACTCACCTTTTCATGCTCTGGTAGACCTTGACATAACTCATCACGTACAGAATATAACTTACCAATATCAATACTCTTGATAAAAGGCATCAATTTATAATATGGCACAAGTTTTGGGATTCTGCTGTTACCTACAATAATTCGTTTGAACTTACTCCCCTCCCTTATATAAGAGCTATACCGGAAGACTGCACGGTACTTTTTCTTCCCCATAACCCCCCCACCATAATACACAGCTACACTTCTCATTTTGTTTCTTTCTGAATTTTCATACTTCTTGGTCTTTTTCCTGTTCTCCTTGTTGATCTTCTCCATGACATTCTTTGCTCCAACTATCTTCTCAGCTACAGTTTCTGACGAGCATTTYCTTATGACTGTGTCAATCAAACCTACAATATTAAACTTATTAAGCAAAATTCACTACCAAGAATTATTCACAGCTCCCTTACCTTTCTCTGCAGCTTCAGGTGTCCCTCCATGTATTTTCAATGCCATTTCCATAGTTTCAGCTCTTCTCAATCTGGCAGTCCTCTCCTTTGTCTCATCAGTAGTAGGTGACCTTGCACTGAATTTGTTGGTCTTGTTACATACACCTAGCTCCCTGTCTATGTCTTTCAGCTCCTCYACCTCCTTCACTACTCTACCAATCTATGAAACCCATCTAAGAGTCAAGTAAACTACACTGCCTCTGCCTTAAACTCCCTATCTWTATCTGGAAGCYCCCCCTCTTCCTAAACTTCTTTACAAATCTTGTAGTGAAACTAATCAAAGCTAATAAGGGAATCAATATATCTTTCTTGGTGCGAAAAATGAGCAAACCTRGAAAAATATTATCAAAATATAAATACAGCATAAGGAATTTTGCTCATACTATTTCAAATAATTCTGGCTACAAAATCACATAATGTGTCATGAAATTCACATAAATTACGTTCTGTATTAGTGCAAGCTTCAATTTATTTAGTTAAGCTTATGTAAACATTGTTTTCTTTCAGCACAAAATATCTATTAGCGCGCGATTCGCGCACCACTTCTTTGCACAAATACCGAAATTATTCTATCTATTATCAACTAAATCATAGATAATAATATTAAGCTTATACAATAAAAAAATAGAGCTCTGTAAATATTATTTTAGCTACWAAATTTYTATAAGTGAGGTTCATTGTAAGCGAGGTTCAAAGTTTTRTAATTTGAGTATGAGAATATAAAGACTGATATTTTGCCAYTAAACCCTTTTACTCCCGACAAATATTCTGCATGAAAATAGCTTAATAAGCTATTATTTCACATACCTTTTCGTCCAGCCTTTTGCATTGTTGTGACTTTCGATCTAGTTCAGCTTTTTTCAGTTTGAATGATGTCTCCAAAAGATTAATTTCCTTGTCAGCTTCCAGTATATCTCTGTTCCGTTGGAATGCTTCTTCTCTAAGTTCCTTCTTTCTCTGGTTAAACTTCTTAAGATCGAACCTCGGCATTGCGATAAAAAAACTTTAGATTTCGCGCGATCAAAGAACTTTCTACAAATTCTGGAGTCAACAAAATTCACTTCATGTCTTTAGCTTTCAGTTGGTAATAGACATGATAATAAATATAAAACGAGTAAAAAATTTTCCCAAGGCTGTAAAAGACTGTATTTTCAAAAATCCGTAAAAACGGAGAAATCTTTGCTTTGTTGTCGCATTTCAACAACAATCGACAAACAAACACCCGGCAAATTTGGTGTCAAAAGAAAGCTCCTTCCTAGCTTATTATCATAAAATCAATCGATTTTCTGTCGTTAAATCACACTTAGCACGAATAGCTTCCGAAGTAAGGCACTTTCGCCCTTCGTTAATTCAGTCCCAGACTCCTCATATTTCAAAACGGCCATTTTCGAAACAGCGACGATCGAAGTTGCCGAATTTGCGTGCGTTTCTGCCCGACGTGTGCAGGCTCGGCTACCAGTTGCTTTCATACCCAGAGCCCGCACTTTTTCCATTCAGCGGAAATCAATTTCAGGATCTTTTTTTCGGCGGGAAAGAAAACGATGNAAAAAGGGAGGGTGTCATAAGACGTGACCTCGTGAGGAAGTTATACTTCAATACTATTCTGATAATCTTGTCAATCATGTAATACATGACGTCATCAATCAAGTGACGTTAATGATTAAACCTTAGTAGCTTTGAACTATTCAAATCAAACTTTTTTAATGCCTTTATTATATAATGAAATAATAAACAAGTTATTACAAGTTAATATTCATAAAATATAAAGTAAGAGCTATTTGCAAGGATTTTATATTTATCAAAATGATTGAGAAGGCGATTGCGTTTCTTTGCTATGTTATTGAGTACGTTCATACAGCTTAACGTAAGTCTTAAAGCATTGAATGAGTTTCCCCCTGTTGTTTTATACATGTTTTGTACAACAGAAGGATAAAATCAAACAAAATTTCATTTTCATTCTTATCTGAGCCCTGTGAACCTAACAATAGTAATAGAAATCTAATTTTAGGAAATCAATACCATATTCATTTACAACTATCTATAACCAGATAATGATTTCCTTCTACAACAATTGAGATGAAATGTAGCGACTTACAAATAARTGTTTTATAGTTTCGATCTATTATGATTCTATTATATTATATTATTGCAAGGTTGAAATAGAAACTATAGTACTATATATTTACTGATTGTTGTTTCAGAACCATCAGAGTAAGGAGAGTTGAGANATACAGCATAAGGAATTTTGCTCATACTATTTCAAATAATTCTGGCTACAAAATCACATAATGTGTCATGAAATTCACATAAATTACGTTCTGTATTAGTGCAAGCTTCAATTTATTTAGTTAAGCTTATGTAAACATTGTTTTCTTTCAGCACAAAATATCTATTAGCGCGCGATTCGCGCACCACTTCTTTGCACAAATACCGAAATTATTCTATCTATTATCAACTAAATCATAGATAATAATATTAAGCTTATACAATAAAAAAATAGAGCTCTGTAAATATTATTTTAGCTACTAAATTTTTATAAGTGAGGTTCATTGTAAGCGAGGTTCAAAGTTTTGTAATTTGAGTATGAGAATATAAAGACTGATATTTTGCCACTAAACCCTTTTACTCCCGACAAATATTCTGCATGAAAATAGCTTAATAAGCTATTATTTCACATACCTTTTCGTCCAGCCTTTTGCATTGTTGTGACTTTCGATCTAGTTCAGCTTTTTTCAGTTTGAATGATGTCTCCAAAAGATTAATTTCCTTGTCAGCTTCCAGTATATCTCTGTTCCGTTGGAATGCTTCTTCTCTAAGTTCCTTCTTTCTCTGGTTAAACTTCTTAAGATCGAACCTCGGCATTGCGATAAAAAAACTTTAGATTTCGCGCGATCAAAGAACTTTCTACAAATTCTGGAGTCAACAAAATTCACTTCATGTCTTTAGCTTTCAGTTGGTAATAGACATGATAATAAATATAAAACGAGTAAAAAATTTTCCCAAGGCTGTAAAAGACTGTATTTTCAAAAATCCGTAAAAACGGAGAAATCTTTGCTTTGTTGTCGCATTTCAACAACAATCGACAAACAAACACCCGGCAAATTTGGTGTCAAAAGAAAGCTCCTTCCTAGCTTATTATCATAAAATCAATCGATTTTCTGTCGTTAAATCACACTTAGCACGAATAGCTTCCGAAGTAAGGCACTTTCGCCCTTCGTTAATTCAGTCCCAGACTCCTCATATTTCAAAACGGCCATTTTCGAAACAGCGACGATCGAAGTTGCCGAATTTGCGTGCGTTTCTGCCCGACGTGATTCAATTCAATTTTGTATGTAATACCATGATCACCTCGGTATCCATTGTCTTTGGAGGGACGTTTACGTCCTAACATCCCTCACTCATGAATAACATGAGGGCAGTTTAGTTTCTAAATTTCCCTCATTAATTATTTATGAGGGCAATTTAGAAAGTAAATTTCCCTCATCAATAATTAATGAGGGCAATTTAAAAACTTATTTGCCCTCATGTTATTCATGAGCTAGTCCCTCATATCTCAATCACTGGGACTCGGGTTTAGTTGACTAAACCCTTTGAAAATCGAATGCTCTCGCAATGAACTTGTACCTCGATCTTCTCTATTATCTCTCAAATGTGGGAGACTTTCAGAACGTATAAACACTCAGTCATACTCTTTGCGCATGCCTAACCACTGACTAATAGATTTTAACTTATTACATTAATATCATTTTTAAAGCTTTAAGTTCATTTTTCAAAGTAAGTGGATGTCAATCTTTGCGCATGCGCATTGCAAATTGGCAATATCAACAGAAAACAATTTTTATTGTATTCCTTGAATCGTTTATCATTCTGATTATTAATTTACTTTGTCATTAATTACTTTCAGACAATTTCTTTGCAAATTTTACTTTTTAAAGGTAATGTTGATATTCACATTGGTCAAGTTCGCCCCTTTCATGTTAATACCACCAAAGGAAATTCCTGTTGCTCCACTCTCCTCAATTTCTTCACACGCTTTCACGAGCACCATATCATCTTCAGTTGGATCTTGGTTCGTTGATCTCTCAATTTTCTGTGAGGAGCTGCTTTCGTTTGTACTCATTGTTGCCGGTGATGTTAGTGAATGAGATACTTTACTGATATCTGTTGGATCTTGACGTTGATAGGTTCTCACACCTTCGATGGAACGGTGGCCACTTCTCTGCATTATAAGTTTCTCTGATAACCCAGCTTGGTACATTCTGGTAATACCAGTTGCACGCCCAGAATGATTCGAGAAATTCCCTTCTAATCCTGCGTCATTACACATCTTCTTGAAACGTTTACTGATTGTATTGTGCCCCATGGGACTTTTGTCGAACCACACTTCTTGACTATAGCTCCACTTTGTTTTAGGTCTTAAGTAAAAAGCAGTCACTGGAATATTCTCTGGGCTGTGAATCAGTGAAAATAAAGAGCCAATTAATATAAATTACATCAAAACCAGTACTTCGATCTGAGATTGATATATAGTTACTCACCATTTGGACACGTAGAAATTATATATGAAGGTGAATGACCTATCGTTATATGGATCCTCTAGGTGTCGAACTTCCTTCCTTACTACTTTACGCCTTTTTAGTCCGCCTTGATTTGTTTTGGATACCTTCTCTTTAAAGACAACGATCATCGATCCATCCGACTGCCCTTCAAAAATAAACTGATCATGCTGAAGATCTCTTTGCTCTCGTCCCCCTCTCAATACGAAGAGCTTTCCCGTTAGAAACATCAAAGCGTTTATTATAGCGTCTGGAGAATGTGTCCCCATTACTCCTTTATTCCACATCTCCTCTTCGTCGTTCGCTGATATAGCACTTGCTTGTTTCTGAAAGGGTTGCTGCTTGGACTGGAGCTCCTTTAGCCGACCATCCAATGTTTTTTGGAACGGTTTCAGATCGGAAGAGTGAAACAAGTTCAGGTCTGGGATCTTCTCTCTAATAATACGATTTAAGCCACAGAATAGCGTGTATAATACTTCGTGGCGGTACTCTGTGCCATCTTTCTTTCTTACTTCGAGGGCAAATTTTGAAAGCCAGTAATTAATTTGTGGGATGTTTATTTCGCTTATTGCTGGTATCGATACAAACTCTTTGTTCTCAGGCTCAAAGTCCTTAAATTCTCTTTCTCTGGCTTCTGCCCATTCCTTGTAAACATTACCACTCCATGCGGTATGTTTTTTGGTGTTTTCGGGAACAGTGGTTTCTCTGACATTCTCTACCTCAGCGTCTTGAACGAAACTAAATCGACCTGCCATTTCTAATCAACCTCTGGTGCATTGCAAAAAGTCATTCCTGCATTTATGTTTTATTTGTTCAGGAATGTATTCCTATGAGAGATACCGAAATATTTTGCGTTTTTTTAGAAAGATCAATTCATTTTATTTCCCAAGTGTAATTATTAGTCAGGTTCAGGCCATTGTTAAAAGACGTAATTTATTCCTGTTTAGAATCAAATTGTTAATATGCTTKTGGTTATTTCCTCGGAAATCATAGTATTACAAAGTAATACCATGGCATCTTCGGGATATTAGGGATTAAATGTCCCCTCAGCCTCGGAGATTTAGTAAAAGTCCCTCGGCCTGCGGCCTCGGGACTTCCACTAAATCTCCTCGGCTTCGGGGACATTTAATCCCTAATATCCCTCAGTGCCATGGTATTACTTATAATAATAGGACTCCATGCTGGAGGAAAGTTCCGAGGGCAGGACTGCCAAACTTGGACATAATATCATATATTACCTGTAAATCATATATATAGGGTATTACACGGTAGAAATGAGTAGGAAAAAATGTTTTTATTTGACGTGCGCGTACATCCGGGACATTTTGACACATAAAAACGAGTGTTAGCTTCCGGAAAAAATTAATTTTGAAGAAATATGAAGGTGTTTTTATTTTGCATCGTTTATCCAAATGGCTTCGCTTTTTGGCAAATTAATTTATCAACGAGAAATATCGATAATCACTGTGACTTCTGTGAAAGTTTGAAAGCAATTGAATCGAAATTTGCGACGTAGTTGGAGTTTAAAAATACGCCCGAAATGCTATTTATTACGATCGAAACACCTTAATAGCACAAGATAAATGGAATAAAGACCGAAATAAGGTCTTGGGCAAAAATTAGCAGGGGGAGGGGATGGGGAAGTTGAAAAGTGGGCACTGGGAATAGGGTGACCAACCATAGTGGGGAATGATAAATTGTTTTGGTAATGGTTGAAGGGGGTCGGTCTGGTACAGAAAGGGTTAGAAAATTTCACTTTCACAACTCTGGTATGTCTGTATTTTTCAAAAATTTGACTGCCTGACGTTTAGATCTGGGACTAAACGTCAGGCAGTTGAAAAATCTCAAAGTGCCGCGTGTTTGCGTATGCAAACTTGTCGAACAGTATTGTTTCTGTCTTTGTTGCATTTCTATTGTCGTATTAATTATATTGAATTGAAATTACTGTCGTTCTGACGATTTTTCTGGGACTAAACGTCAGGCAGTCGAAAAATCTCAAAGTGCCGTGCTTGTGTTTGAAACTTGTYGAACRRTATTATTTCGGTCTTTATTGCATTTCCCCTGTTGTATTAATTGAAATGACGGTTGTTCCGAAGATCTTTAAAGAAAAATTTCGACTGGCTGACGTTTAGACACTCCAAAAAAGACCTTTGCAATTTCAAACACCTGTAATTTCTGGTCCTTAAATGTAGAAGCATTGAAACGTTCAGATCTCACTCATTATAACATGTTCTTTCAACGGGTAGCAATGATATATTAAACAAATTATAAACTCAGGCGTTACGATAGCCACGCCCTTTTTCATATGTTCTGTAAGCAATTTCTTAATCATTTACGATCCAAGAGCTGAT